CTTTGATGGCAGAGGAACTATATATTCCAGGAACTCCAAAATGCCAAGGTCTATATTCCCCAGGCCTCTCCAGTATTTTCTGTTGATCATGGGAGTTCTGTATTCCAAATTTGGTTCAATTCTGTTGTTGTTGTAGTTCAGAATGCTCTTTGATGGCAAGGGAACTATTCCTCCCAACAACTCTCAAATGTCAGGAAAATAACCCTAAAACTCTCCATTAATTTTTGTTGGTTATGTGAGTTCTATATGGCAAGCTCGTTCAATTCCATTTTGTTAGAGTTCAGAATGCTCTTTGATGGCAGAGGAATTATAAATACCAGCAACTGCAACTCCCAAATGTCAAGATCCATTTTCCTCAAAGTCCACCATTGTTCAAATTTGGGCATATTGAGTATTCATGCCAAGTTTGGTCCAGATCCATAGTCATTTGGGTTCACGGTGCTTTCTGGATGTAGGTGAAGTACATCTTCCATAAATCACTGTCAATTCCTCTCAACCCCCTTCTGTATTTTCTGTTGGTCATGGGAGTTCTGTTTGCCAAGTTTGGTCCAGGCCTATAATTCATGGGGGATCTCAGTGGTCTGTGGAAGTCAGAGCTGAATTGGTTGAAAGTACTGCAAATCCCATAATCTATTGTCCATATTCCCCCAAACACATTTTTTGTGATTAATCACTATGCTTTAATTATGTTCAATTTATAACAAGGAAAATACATATTAGATATTTGCGTTTGAATTCATAAGACTAGCAAAATTATTTATGAAGTAGCAATGAAAATATAGTTTGGGGTCACCACAACATGAGGAATTTTATTTAGGGGTCATGGCATTAGAAAGGTTGAGAACCACTGCCCTACTGTGAGCAGCGGCAGAATTTATTTTAGAATTACCATGTTTTTATTTAATAGGTAGATCATCTGGATGGGGCAGAACATGAAACCATCTTTGTGGTCATTGTGTTGTGTGCCTTTAAGTTGTTTCTGACTGATGACAACCTAAGATGAACTTATCCTTGGAACCTGAGAGAATGTGACTTGCCTAAGGTCACCCAACAGATTCATAGCAAAGTTGGGATTCAAACCCTGGTCTCCAGAACCATATTCCAATGTTCAAACCACTCCACCAAGCGGAAGAATTGTAATTGAGAAGAAACAGAAGTATTAAAGAGTGACTAATCATTGGTTCCAATACCATACTGCATCTGAATGTTTCATGGGCTTTGCTAATTCTTGATAATTTCTTCTTGGAATTTAATCTTATTATAATTACTAGCTGTACCCGCCACGCGTTGCTGTGGCCCGTTGTGGAGAAATGGGAAAGAAAGAAAAGAGGAAGAGCTGGTTTCTAAGCTATCAATACACAACGAAAGTGGCAAAGTGTCAACCTAATACCGGCCCATTTCAGTCTCCTTGAGGCCAAAGGGTTATATGGATGTGTGGAAGGGCCCTGGGTTACCTGAGCCCACACTGCCATATAACCCAGTTCCAAGTTATTATATAGGTATTGTTGTCATTATAGACATAGATATTATTATAGGCATATAGATATTATTATAATAGATAGAAATATTATTATTAAAGGTATATAGGTATTAGTATTATAG